TTGGCGGTGGTTTGGAAAGCTTATTTTTATACGACAAGTACTAAATGACACCCAATTTGGTATAGGGTGAAGGGGAGAACTGGAATATTCAAATTTGATATTAATTTTTATGTCGGTATTACATATCGGGATTTACATATGGAGATGAAAATTGGATGTGTTGTACGTCCATTTTTTGACACATTTCACGCGTAGATACTTTTGGCAACAAAGGAATTTGCCTTCATTGATTTGACTAGACTAGAAAATGAGCGAGAAAACTTATTTGTACCATATTCAGCAGAATAGCTGAATGTTCATAGGTCTGAATTCAATGGATTGGATACAATGGATTCAAGACGAAGACGAAGAATTTCGCACCAAAAATGACAAAAATAACCAGATCGACCAGCAAAGTTTTGAGTCCCATTAATTATCTAACGTTTGATGTTAGTCTGCTGCTCCAACAGAGTCCTCAGATTAAGTTGGTGGGTGAATAAGAGCCCATTGGAATTTTTAAGGTTCGCAGTTGGAATACCTCGTCACCCCTAGAGTCCAATACATCATTACAAAAATAACAACTCAACTTCACCAACAACGACATCAGCCATTTTCAGGTCGTGTTATTTGGCATTTTGGAGACCAGAATTGCCCGCTAGATCACGCAATTTAACAACTTTCGATTTTTGTCTTGGGGGTTTATGAAATCGAAGTAAGTCGACGAAGACTCAAGCCTTAAAAGTGGAAATTGGGCGCTGCATTTATGCAAAACGGTTATAGCAAATTTTTGCGCGATATCTTGTTCCATACATAATCTTATTCTGTCAACATTACAATATAACAAAGTTTTATTTTTTTTTTTTAAATCTGTGTTTTATTTAAAACTTAAAAATTGCGTTCTAGTTGGGTCACAAGATTTAACTTTTTACAAAAAAAGGAGGCTTATTTGACATTTTATCACAGTTATGGTTTATCTGAAAGAGTTAAGTGCAATACCAACATTAAGACGATCAAAAACTTCCTTTAAATCTATATATATAAAAATCAATTGTTGTTCGTTGGTAATGGAATCAGTTGAAAACGGCTAGACCGATTTGCATAATTTTTTGTACAAACGTTCGTCATAACCCGAGTTAGGTTTTTATCCAAAGTGACCCAATATTGCGCCCATTTTTTCGATTTATCTAAAATCCTTATATTTGTCAAAATCATGAAGATATCTGTTTCACAGTTAGTATCTACGTAATCTTGACTCTCCCTCCAAACCTCAGTATCTGTTTGGGGTCAGAGGTACTGACCACACCTACTTCTTTAAATTTACATGTAAAAAAATTGAAAAAGCATAGTAACACATCAGTTGAGAACAGCTGGTCCGATTTGACTCAAATTTTCCTTTGGTTATTTGTAATTACAGTGGAAACGTTGTCATAAAAGAAAATGTTATGAAAAATCGCGAAACTGAAAAAATTGACTGTTCTACTATGACATGGAATTTTATGTAGAATTGCAAAAGTTATTGGGACTTCAATCAGTGAAATACAGAATAGTAATATACGGACTATACAAAATAGTGGAGTATTGAAAATATAGTAAGAAAAGGACTCATATACTCGGAAAATTCTTCCGAACACTTAAAAGTAACCTTAAATCATAGGTAACGTTATACGGGCATTATGCGCTATCGTCAGTAATTACACTGCGCCGTAGACAGTCTTGGGGTTAGGAAATTTTTCGGTTGGTAAATAAAAACCCCAAAAGAGGGGTTCCCGGATTTAACCTTTTTAGAGTCCATTTTATATAGCTTAACAATACTCAAAGGACCGTAAATATTTTGCCCTATACTCCGCAAAAGTTACGATAAAGTTTTAAATTTGATACAGTCCTAGGGGTTACATGAGGAATCATTTGTACAAAATATGTATCAGGTTGGTCTACATTGTGATATAGCTCCCCTCAAATGATATAGCCTCTTCCAAATTCCTCAAATGTTGGTACTTTGAGATTTTAGATAGAGGAACAAATTCTTTCAAATATTTATAAGTATAGCACCATTCTTCATTATAATTCTTATGTCAATGTTTCGGTGTAGCGCTCATATAAAAGTACCTCCTGATTTTACCTATTTCGAGGATTTTGATTATGTTTTCGAATCGATTTGACATAAAATGTGTGTTAAGGCTACTTTGGGTGTAGAGGAACATCTTACATGGGCCTATTATAAACAGTTAATGTATACTTTTAATATATATGCTATATTATTTAGGTTTTTAACTATCAAACTAAAACCTCTTACTGAAAAATATGATCAGGTTTTTTGAAAGACGTATTTATTACTATTTAATCGAGTCATCATTTATACTACAAATTGTGCCGCTTATGTGAGCCAGATTTGTGAATTATTATGAAGACTAAAGCGACGGGCCGGCAACGCGGACTGGGCCAGCTAGTAGCTTACTAAATTCGAAAAGATGAACTGTTATCGCAATTGGATAAATATTGCGATGCGTACAATTTAAATCAGAGCAATGATTAACTCGTTTTCACTCGGGAGTGAAACTTGCTCGCAAATGGGATTGCTCGGAAAGTGGAAGTTTTATACGAAATTAACTCTCTTTTTGCGCCAGAGCGCCCCCGAGACACTCTTGTGTTTGCTCTGAGAGTGAAAGAGAATGGAAAAAAAGTAAAAAAGCAGCTAAGTTCAGGCCGGGCCAAACTTTTAATACCCTCCACCATTTGGAAGGAACTTGAAAAATGTCCAAAAAAATCCGAAAACTACCGCTTAAATGAGAACCGTTATATGGGGACTATACGAAGACGTGGACCTGCTTACAAATTGTTTGTTATATGTTGTAGTACCCATTACAAACTTCAAATACCAAATACCAGTGAATAATGTCGATAAAATCAAAAAAAAAAAAAAAAAAAAAAAACTTGAACCTACATACGTTTTTTGCGAACTTTAAATACGAAATTTGTTACACTTCCGATGAATAATGTCGCAAAAATCATTAAAATACCGAGTATCGGGAGGTATCATCATATGGGCGTTCTACGAAGACTTGGACCTAAACGAAATTTGAAACGATTCCGGTGAATAATGTTGCAGAAATCATCAAAATACTGACTATCGGGCGTGATTACAACAGACAGACGGACAGACAGAAATTCAGACTTTAATGGCACGAAATGTACAAACAGACATAAAATGGCACATTACTGATTTAAACCGAGGGTCACAGAGAGAGAGAGAGAGAGAGAGACATAGTTACAACATTGTTGTTGATCGCTGGGAAAGAGTAAGAACTTTAAAATTTTGCATGAGGGTCATTATTTTTTAAAAGGGGTGCGATAAAGCTGATGCTGCACTGTTGTTAAAGGATTGATAAGAGCAAACACTGTTAAATTTTGATTGAGGTTGAGAGAAAATTGGATTTTTTATACCTTCCACAACTCTATGGGGGTATGTTAACTTTGTTTCCGCGTTTGTAACTCCTTGAAATACTGCATGTATGTTCTTGATCCGCGTTAGATTTGAAGTCGATTTGGCGATGTCCGTCTGTCTGTCTGTTGTATTCATGCTATCTTTCGAACGAACAGAGATTGTGGGCTAAATTCTCTCTTCTTATGTGTATTTTGTCAGTAAGCTGGTTAAGTTCAAAAATAATCCACGTTTTCGTATATCCCCCATGTAATAGTACCTGCTGATATTCGGAATTTGGGCGAATTTATATTTTAGCCACTTTTAACAACAAAATGGTTTCAAATTTGCAATAGATAAAACTTCTGTAATTCTGTGATATTGCCTATATTTTTCTCATTTTGGTGCAGACCACATATATTTGTTTTTTAAAATTTTCTTTATCTCATGGTGGAGGGTATTAAAAGTTCGGTCCAGTACTCAACGCTTTTTACTTGTTTAAATCCTACATTAAGAGTACTAAGATGTCCAAAATTGTTTCTGAGCGACTGAGAAAAGCTAAAACGTAAATATTTTGCATGAGGTTTACTCTTGGATGAGATAGGACGACGTTTTAGGAACTTAGTATTTTAAGGACCCGGAAAATATTCAATATAAAAAATGATGATGCATTAATTTAAAGGTCAGAGCTGAAACTTTGAAATTATTATAGTTTCACACTAGGCTCCTCCTTAATGATAAGAGGCACAATGCGTCGGGATTTTCGGAATTATACCCTTTTAGGGTACGAAATGTGCGAAATAGTACAACATTGTTGTTGATCGACTGGGCAGTCCAAACACCTTATGTATGTCGGACTTGGTTCAAAACTTAGGCCAATATTGAAAAGTTTTTATGAGAGAGAAAAGTTTATACCAACTGAGAGCCCAAAATGTTAGACAACTGGGTTTCAAAATCGTAGCTGAGACTTCCAAAATATCGAAAATTAAAGGAAAAATGTTTACCCTAAAACTAGACATAGATCAAAAAAAAAAAGTCCCTGAAATTCATAGAGAAACCACCAAGATGGTCTTCCCTTTAAACAGAGAAAATCATCGGATTTACATCCATTCTCTCATGACTATAATTTTTTGGAATTGTATTTTTCCTAAACTAATGTTTTTCCTACGTGATATTTAGAAAAATAACTTATCAAGCAACATGTTATTATTTTTTCAATAAAAATTTCTCTCGTTCTCTCAGAATTTCTCTCTCCAAACCATAATATTCCGATGCAATGGAGCAATTCCCTCTCTCACACATGCGCTCTCTCCAGGTTGAAAAACAATGTTTTGTTCAAATTAAGGACCCCCCAAAGTGAGGGGAAAGTTGGGGTATTACAAAAATCCTTAGAAACTTGTAGGTTAACTCCTTTTGGTGTAGAGACTCACAGGGCAGATATAAATTTACTCTCGTCGTGAACAGTCGAATTTCGAAGACCAGTGCTTAACAAACAACCAAAATTGTAAAAGCTTCAAAGCCAAGAAAAATACAACAAAAAATTACACATATACATATTTTGAAAAATAAAAATTCAAAAATTAGTAGTTGATTTTCTTATAATTTGCTGCTTTTTTTCTAAAAAAAACGAACCATAACTGGAAAATTTCCATTCGAATAAAACCAAAAGAAAGTCTAGTGAAAATATTCGAAAAAAAATCAAGAAACGGCTAACTTGAAAAATAATTAAACACTTGAAGAAAATCTTTAACGCGAACGTAGTGCTAAAAGAAAAAGTAAACTTTTTTTCAAAGAAACCCAATTTTCTTTCATTTTAAATACATATTTTTTCCGATTTCTACATTTTTTGCTAATAAATTTTTGAGCATTCTTTGCTGTTTAGTTTTGTGTATGTGAAAAGATTTTCTTCATATTTTTTTCTAATTTTTTTTCTGCTCTTGTCTTGCCTCACCAAACCCACTCACCACCCCCTCCTTTGTTCGATTTTGTGTTACCTTTTATTGTATTGCTGACCCTGTAAGGATATCTCCTTCCATTTCATTTTCTCTGTGTGTGTGTGTGTGTATGCATAAAAATTATTGTGTGTCTACTCCTGGACGAAAAGCGCCACAAATAAAGGTGGTGCTACATGAAATAATAGCAACAACAAAAATATTGAAAAAAAATACAAAAAAGTCTGCCCAACTTAACAAATGTCAGTGACAGAAAAAACAATGATTGTCAGCAGAACGACGACGATGATGATGATGATGACGAACGATGTGTAACCTTAACCCAAGCATCCAATAGTTTGACCCAGAAATTCCGGAACCCATTGATCACTTGTTGACGTCACGTTTCTGTTTTTTTTTTTTTGTACCATTCCAGCTCGTGTAGCTTGTTTTTGTTTTTAATTTCCTCACTCGATTTTTAAACGGATTTTGAAATCCTATTTTTTAACGGTTTTTAAATAAAAAAATATTTTATTGCTGCTCTCTACTCATTTGGCTTATTTTGTTAATTTTGAAAATAACAACTGAAATGCATGTTTTATTTTTTTTTTTTCTGTAATGAATTTACCTAACAAAAAGAATTTTTTTAAAAAAAATAAATCTCAATTTTGTAAAAAATCTAAATCTACTCCCCCACCCAAAAATCCAAAGACAATAATGAAATAATATTTGGCGCCTAAACGGATATTTCAAAAAATCCACTTTTTTGAAATCCGTTAAAACGCAAACCAAAAAACCACAAAAATTGCCAACATTTTAGCTGGTGAGTATTGAGAACGAATGAGCAAAACAAAAGAGCAACAACAACAACACATACGTATAACTCACAAATAAACAAGCTTTAGGCACAAAGATATCAGTTTAAAAAATTAAAAAAAAAAACAACTACAAAAAAGAAGAACTGATTTCATCAATCACATTCAGGTAAAAGTCAAGAATGGATAAAAAGTGAAGGCTTTGAGGAAGTAAAAATTGTCTAAAAAATGCTAAAATAAGATGTTAATACCAAATATTCGACGAAAATCAAAAATACCTTAACATCTTAAAATTGTCCAAATATCTTCATATAAAGGTCATACTAGTCCACAAATTCGGCTCAAATCTTAAAAATTGTTAATATCGATTGCAATAATCGTATAACTTCTAAAGTATGGACACGGATCCAATTTGACATTGTTTCAGGCCAATTGTTTTGAAAATGTGACTTGATCTTTCGAAAACCTTAAAATACCTAATGTCGATACACATGGAATCGATTTTCAGATATTCTGGTGCAAATGATTTATTGGCAATCGGAGATAATCAGTGTTGATATATGTGTTATAGCCTTAAAGGAGTCGCAATTGTAGTCACTGATGAAGATTAGTGTAGAAATTAAGTATGCTCAAGAATGTAAAATATTATTCTGCCCATTGAGAAAAATTCGTAGCCCATAAGCTAGCCTCCTGGAAATAGACTGAATAGCGCTCCATTTAGATCATATCATTTGACTGAAATTTTTCGCGAATTTAGTTCATAATTTACTATGTATACCCCTGTACACTCCATAAAGGAGAAGAACAATTAAATTGAAAGAAATCTAATAAGAAACAGTAAGTTCGGCCTTGAATACTCTCCACCATTAGAAGAGATTTGCAAATTTTCAAGAAAAAATCCGGTTAAAAATACTTATAAAAAAATACCGAATATAGGGTGTTTGCGTTTTATTTTGGGCCATATGAAGATGTGGAAATGCATTATAAACTTTTGTCGTAGGACACTACAATATTCAAATACGATACTTGAAACAATACCGATGAATAATGTCCAAAAACATCAAAACTCCGAATATTGGGATGTACCGTTATATGGTGGACATACGAGGACGTACAGGCAATATAATTTGCTATAGAAGTCCACGCTTTCGTATATCCCCCTACAACGGTACCTCCCTATATTCGGTATTTTTATGATTTTAGCTAGATTTTTCAACAGAATTATATCAAAAACAGTTTTTTACGTTCGTAATAGTTATAGCCTCCATGTAATTGTACAGGCACATTTATGATATTTTGGTTGGTTTAGTCAAAATTTTAGCCCGAATTTTCTGTAAATTGACAGTTTGTGTTACAGGACTTCAGATCCTTGCATATAATTACCTATATAAGTCCAAGTTTTCAAATAGTCGCCATAAAATTGTACCTCCAGATATTCGGTATTTTCTTTTCACTGATTTTTTTTTCAAAACTTCTCTGGTTGTAGAGGTCCACGTTTTTGTATAACCCCATACCAACAAAACTTGAATGGCGCAACACAAGGCTACTATATCTTTTGGTGGTACATTGCATACTAAGGGTAAACAACTAAAATTCGAAACTTAAAATAAACTGTGAATACTGAAGCTAAAATCATTAAACATAGGGAGGTATTATTACATCGGAGCTATATGAAGACCTGGACTTGCATAGACAATTTTCTGTTAAAGCCTGTAACAAATATGACATATAAACCAATTTCGGTGAGAATTGTACCTAAAATCGTCAAAATACCGAATATAGGGAGGTACTGATATATGGAGCCTGTACGAAGACCTGGACCTACTTTGTTTACAAAAATACATGGACAGACGGACGGACGGACATGCATAAATCGACTCAGAATGTGATTCTATGCAGATCATCAAAAGGAACTATGGGTCTATCTCGTTTCCTTTTGCCGGTTACAAACAAATGCACAAAGACATAATATCCTGACCACCTTGTGGTGTAGGGTATAACAAATCGGATCTCAATTTTATTGAGTTATTATTATTCCAAATTTCAACCTCTTGTGAAGGACTTATAGAAATGAGAAGAAAAATATTGTCCATTTCCAATCCTTACCAAAGCCATGTGCCAAGTTTGATCTATATATTTCTACAGCTCAATATCAGATTCGTATCTTTTTTTGTAAATATTTTAATTTATTTAATTTCCGAACTTGATATAAGTGTTGTAAACATATTGCAATATTCCATGTTTGGACCAAATCGGTCTCTCCATTCGAGAAGAAGGAAGGGCATCTATAGATCGATTCCAAATATCCTGAAACGAATGTCATCCAGAGACGTAGGGTTTAAAGCAGTTATTTCGAATCGGAACAACTCAGGATTTAGAAAATAAATGTTATGTAAGAATTCGACAATATTTGTATTACTTTGAGGCCAAACTTTTATCCATTTTTGACAAATTAATTTTTTTTACCATACTTTTTATCAATAATAAATTCTCTTTGTATTTTATTGAAGAATTTAAAAAAAATCATTTAATTAGCATGTGTATTTTAAAATAATTGTGATTGAAAGCACCTTCCCCACTCACTACACCAACAATAGATTTGTTGTAAAATTTATAAAAACAGTGTACAGATTTATTTTATTTTTTACCTTTGATGCCAATTAATACATCATAAATTATTGTAGAGAATATTCCCCATGTATTTGTTAACACTTAAATGGCAAGCAGGACAATATATCAATAAAAATCCCTTCCCTTAATTGTGTAAAAATCAAAAACCGCCCCACCAACCTCCACCTAAATTCGAATTAATGTTCATTTAACTCTGTTACAAGCTTCCTAATACTCTGTGTCTTCAAAATTTTATTGCATTCTAACCCAATCCCCCAAAAACTCATTACAAAAAAATCCATGAAAATTGTTTGACATGTAAAAGGGATGTTGCCGTCACAACAAACACCAAAGGTCATTTTGGTGAAAGGTCAAATCATCATCGCCACAAATGCTACAGCAACGGTAAACACCGAGAGAGAGGAGTAACATTTACGTCCCATGAAGTAACTCACAATCGAAGGCTGTCTGTCAGACATCATTGGTTGCAAATTAAGAGTCCTTCAAACTGACGCCATGACGCTATGACATTTGATGCTAAAAGACCTTGAATTCCCAGTCAATGTTATTAGAAGCACAGAGCAGTGCTGTGGGTGTTTAGAAATTCACTTGCAAGGACATTATGTTTACCGCATCGACTGGCCGGTCTTGTGGCCAATTTAGTTTTCATTGAAGTAAAGATTAAAAAACTCAAATTCAAGGGGCGATTAAAAATAGAAATTGCAGCAAGGTTTCGAAAGTAACTTAGAGATTTCATGCATATCCAACATGTTGGGTTGTTGATTTAACAGTAAAATACGTTGCAAATTGAAATGTAGGTAATACGGACTCCAAATTTAAAAATTCGTTCACTTTCATGGACTCTTACTTATTTTCAGGAGTGAATTGGGTATATTAGGACAATAGAAAAGATGCAATATAGTATTCGGGTCTGTATTGTATGCTCGTCTTATTATCAATTCGCGCCTTAAAACAAATTCAGACGATTGCCCATCCTGAACGTAATTTCGCCAAATCTGCCCTGGTTTTGTTTAGCCAGACAACGTTTTTCATCTGCAATGGATGGAGGACTCCGAGAACGACATTCATACTGTAATAATTAATAGCATTGATGACTGCATAGGTGGGAATACCATTTAGACCTGTCTGATATGTTTCCGTATTTAGAGGCCTTCTCCTATAACGTTGAACTTATCTCTCTAGATTGTGTAAGGCTGTCCTGACACTTCTTGGCGTGAGAGTTTTTACCACCACATGATTGTTTGGATTACTCTCACAGTAATACCCCAGCAGGTACTACAACGAATGCTTGTGGTTATACTGACGTACGGGAAGGACCTTTGCCAGCTCATGAAAATGATCCACTGATGTCATACGGAAGCAATCTGTTGCTGTCCGCATGACAGCATTTTGACAGTTATGAATGCTTTTGTATTGCCTTGTACTAGGGTCCGCATACCACACTGGGGCCGCATAGCTTCCACAGACCGACCTATCGCGTTATAAGAGATTAAGGCCTTTTCATCGGCGCCTCAAGTGCTGCCGACTACCGCCTTGAGACCTGGTTCCAACTTTCCAGATTATCGAAGATATCAAGGGCTTTTTCGCGACATAAATATGCTGTTGAATGAAAGCGGTATTCTCCGCGATATAGGTGTCTAGCATTTCAACGACAACAGAATCCGACGCCATGGTTGTGCAATCATCCGCATACGTTACTATCTCTATTCCGTCTAGAGGGCGAGGTATTTCGAAAAGAGGTTAAACAGTTTCATAGATACCAGCCCACCTTAGGGAACTTCCTGTTCCACACTATGGGGTTTCGACTTCTTGCTATGGAATTCCACGTACGACTGGCATCCACACATATAGTTGATTCGGCCGGAGGGTTGTTCTGTCGACATCCTCAAACGGTGTGACTTGGTTGACAGCAACAATCACAAAGGATATAACCACTGGTACTGCTTGATCTGATTTTTTCCTTGACTAATATTTGTGGATAGGGCGTGCAACGGAGGATAGTTTCCTCTAATAATGGAGAGGTGCAAAGCCTTAAGAGTATTCCCTAGTGACTACAAAAGCGAGCAAGAATGCCAGACTCGCCTTGGCTGGCATTCTTGCCCGGCTTCAGTTGCGGGACCCAGTAGTTGCCCTATTTTTAGGGCTTGTTCTCGAACTGCAAGTCTGTAAAAGTTTTTATTACCATAACCGATTTTCCCTTTATGATATCGAAAAAATGTACAAAAATAGTCGATTCTTGAACAGAGCATATAAAGAGTGAGTCAAAAGCCATAATTTTTAGATTTTTTTAATTTTATTGAATGAAAGCAAAAAATGTCGAAAATAGCATCAAATTTTAGAATAAGTTCTGTTTTGTTCGAATTAGTCACCTTTGGCACGAAATTTGGCCCATTCCCGGCGAAGCGCTTGCTTGAGATGATGGATACTTTGGTATTTTTTAGTCCCAACTTTGCTTTCCAAAAAACTCCAGACGCAATAGTCCAACGGATTGTTATTCGGATATTTTGGTGGCCATTGTGCGCTGGAAATGAAGCGAGGAACCTCATTTGTAACAATTCTTGGGTGGCGCGTGCTGTCCTCCAGGATATTTTCGCGATAATATTCTGCATTTATTCTAATGCCAAAAAAAAAACAGTTCTTGCACTTTTTGAAATTTCAATGGTTTTACCCCGAGCTCATTTTTTCAATATTTGCCGAATGGAATATTGCGATCTGTTCAGATCACGAGCCATTTTTCGGCCACTGCGACGCGGGTTTTGATCAAGTCACTTCTTTTCTTTTCGAACCATTTCTGCTGATGTTGCTGTTTTCTTCCGTCGGACTACGCTACCAGTATCACGGTAACGAGCGATGTTAGACACAAAATATTTGTTCACATTTAAATGCTGCAGTGCTCTAACGATAGCCAAATATAAAGAAATCACACTGTCACGTTTGAATTCCATCACGAATAACTTTTTTTCTGGAAAATTCTCACCAAAGTGCTTTTGTACTCTTGTAAACAATATAATGAGCTGTCACTGGAATAATTTTAACATCTGTCGGACGAGTGGCTTAGAAATGACAGCAGTCTGAATTTGATTGCAGTTTTTTCATCTCACCCTACATATAATCTTCACAACAGACCTTGGGTTAGGAAAAATGTTTGTATGTGTGAAATTTGAAGAGAGCTGTATGTTTATTTGGCTTTTTTGAGCGATTCGTTTTTCAAAATATGAATATGTTGGGGAGGTACCAGAAGGATTGGACCGATACATTCCATCTTCATACCAGTCCTTGGGTTAATAAAAATATTGAGATGTGTGTAATGTGAAGATAATCGGACACTTACACCATATTTTTTAAGAGTCATAATTATTCACAGTTTTGACCCTCTGTGGGTGAGTGCTGGATGGAGTAGACCGATATTGTCCACTTGACCTAGCAATTATGCAAGTACTAGGGAGGATATCGCTAGATCGACTCTAAATGTCCTAAAAAGGATTTGGTCCACAGAATCTTAGTGTGTAAAACCGTTATTTCGGTGAGTCTCTTTTTGGTCGTATCAAATGATATATACCCTACCTTAATATATGGTTGTCTGTTATTTATGCACAAAACCATTTTGAACCCGACTAACAAGTTCTAATAAATTGCTAATCTTAGATCTACTTTTCATGAAACCATGTTAGAAAGGTGAAATTATACTTTTCCTTATACCAAAAGTTCGAAGAATTTGGGAATGACGCACTTATAATTATTCTTGATTTATGCAGGTTAATAACAAAGCTCGATCGCTAGTAGCATGGAAAATATCCTTTAGATAGGGAGTAATTAAAAATTTTAGTGAGAGATACATAAATTTCACCAAAGCAAGATTTTAGAATATACGTCGAAATGCTATGCTGTGGCCTGGAGAGAATCCTGAAAAAATCTTCATACTCTGTTAGGATAATACGAGAAAAATTATAAAAAAATATATGTAATATTATAGTCATATGAACCGTTAAAAGTGTTCGGGGTGTAAGATGCTTGACAAAAGTCAGCACTTAAATCACAGAGTTATCAGAGGATTAACTACTAGCTAGATGCATATGGGAAATTTCTGTGCTTTCCTTTTGGAATTTGGAAATTTAAACCAGTAAGGAAAGGTCAAAAGTCGGGCGGGGCCGAATATATGATACCTTCCACCACCATGCGTATTTAGTAGAGCTCCCGTAACAACAAGGTTTTTATTGAGAATTTATGTGAAGCAGGTCATACCAACTATGAATAAAATAACACTGCTGTATAGTATATCGGATGAAGATGTATATAGAAGATATATGAAAATCTGAACCGATCTCGATAAAATTTTCCGGAGGTATTTTCGAACAGTATCTAAAGCCCGGTATCAAATAAGTTTAGATTCGCACTTAAAAGAAAAAATTCGATAAATAAAAGGACTAAAAAGCCTATAGATTTTTGTTAAGGCAAAAGTCTACTTCCGCTCCCGACTACATACCCCTTGTGCAACTACCTTATAGACCTCTGTTTCATACGTCACATCAAACTTTCCTAAATTATCTTCCCAGTTTACGCTGTCAAAGAAAATCAATTCAGTAATATTTATTTCAATAATTTTCAGAGAATATGTATGGTTCCTAAACTAAAACTTCGTCTTTACAATTGGAACCTTTCCTGAATATTCGAAGACTAACCCCAACCATTAACAAAATTTTTGACCCTCACTTTGTTTAAAAAAAAAACTTTAAATTGGCTCCCCATTTTTTTGTAAATATATAATTCCTAAGAATTTTTTTATTAATACTTTTTTCAATGGAATTTTACTAACCTTTTATTCACTTTTTTTAAATTACTTAACACAAAATTTAAAACTTCCTACCTACTTTTTTTTTAAATTTCTTAAATTAACCGAGTTTTTGCAATCCCCAGAAACCCCAATGCCTGAAGCATTAACATTGCCCGGTATGGCTGATCAAGAGCCAGATTTGTCAACATTTGAAAATAAAACTGGCCTGGCGGAGGATATGAAGTTCTTAGCCTCCATGCCAGAGCTGTGTGATGTGACCTTTTTGGTGGGCGATACCAGGGAGCCGGTATGCGCTGTAAAGGTGATGTAGAAACCTATTTAAAAAATGTTTTGATTCTAATTCAATTTGGTTATATCCAGGCTGTCCTGGCATCCCGTTCTCGAGTATTTGCCAAAATGCTCTACTCTGCCCCCTCGCCGCAAAGGAAACGTGAAACTTCCACCAAGGAAAACAAGTTGCGGCTGTTTTTGAAACGTTCCTCGGAGCCGTTACTTAATCTGCAAAATGCTGCCCAGCAGGTAAGAATTAAAGAAATCTTGTATTTTAATTATTTATTATAGAATTTTCTTTTTTCGTAAATGTTTTGGAGCATTTTTCCGGTGAAATGTTCATACATTTTGCAAATTTTTAAATTTTTTGAAATATTCATGTAGTTTTTTTATGAATTTTATTTCACAACATAATTCATAACTTTTTCATACAAAAAAATTTCCCATTCAAAATTTCTCTTTGCCATTTTATAGAGAAGTGGTTTCACCCAACAATTATCTCCAATACCAGAGGTAAAGTGAATTTTCAAGTTATTTTTTGTTTTTGATTGACCAACCGCATAACTTGAAAATATATTGCCTGGTTTTAGACAAAAAACAAAATGTGTTCTTTTTCCAAAATTCTTCTTTTCCACAAAACTCGTAATATAACAGCTCTGCAAAGTAATTTTGCTTGAATTGGCTTTTGAATAATGTTTTCTATATACAAAAAAAAACTATAAACAAAAAAAATATTAAAAATGTAGAAATTAAACCTCATATCTCAAAATCGGTGTCTATCATACTCCTATTGGAACTAATTTACACTATGGCACAATTTTTACGAAGGTAGAAGAATGGCAACAGCTGATTATTTTAAATACCTATCCTTCCTACTTATGTATTTATTTATTTGCGTACAGATTTATACATTTCTTTTTCTTCTTCACATTCTTGAATACATACTTACCTAATTATTTGGTTTTTGATTTATTTACTTACCAACTACCTTACATTTATACTTACTTACCCAATTACTTATTAGTTGCCTACTTAGGTATTTTATGTCCTCCACTATTCCATTTTCAACTCCTCGAAATATTTATTATAGACACCACAAAGTATATATTCTGGATCAGCGTAAAATTCTAAGGCGATCTAAGGATGTCCGTATGTCTGTCTGTCCGTCCGTCCGTCTCTCCGACTGTCTGTCTGTTGTAATCACCCTATCTTTGGAACGAATTGAGATAGAAGACTAAAATATTGTATACTTGCATATTTAACCAGTAGGAATGTTACGTTCGTAAATAGGCTATGTCGGTCTACGTTTTTGTATAGTCCCCATATAACGGTACCACCCGATATTCGGTATTTTCATGATTTTCGCGACAGTATTTACCGGAATTATTTCAAATTTGGTATTTGAAGTTCGTAATGGGTACTACAGCCTATGCCAAACATTTTTGTATGCAGGTCCACGTCTTCGTATGCCCCCATATTCGGTATTTTGATGATTTCAGCAACATTATTCACCAGAATCGTTTCAAATTTCGTGTTGAGAGATCTTAATGGTTACTACAACCTGTGGAAAAAAATTTCGTATATAGGTCTACGTCTTCGTACAGCCCCTATATAACGTTACCTCCCGATATTCGGTATTTCATTATTTTAGCGACATTATTTACCGATTTTTTTTTTTTCGAATTTCGTGTTTAAAGTTTGTAATGGGCGCTACAGCCTATGACAAAAATTTTTGTATGTAGGTCCACGTCTTCATAAAGCCCCCATATGACGGTACCTCCCGATACTCGGTATTTTTATGATTTGTGCGACATTATTCACCGGAATTGAACCAGATTTCGTATTTAAGGTTCGTAATGGGTACTTCAGCCTATAACAAGAAATTTTGTAAGCAGGTCCACGTCTTCGTATAGTCTCCATATATCAGTTTTTATTTAAGTGGTAGTTTCCGGAAGTAATTTTTCAAGTTCCTTCCAAATGGTGGAGGATATTAAAAGTTCGACCCGGCCAAACTTAGCTAATTTTTTACTTTCTCATGTACTTATTCATTTATTTTGTCTTATTCATTAACCATTTTATTTATTTAAAATATGTATTACATTTAGAAATTACTCCAAAAAAAAACACTGGTGGCTATTCTCATCGAAATTGTCTAACTTCACAAAAAGGATTGTGCCATGCCTCTTTAAATTCTCACACAATATCTGGCAGTCATAACCTCAACACCAAACTAAATATTTAAAACTGCATGTTTCTTTTTTTCGCAATTTAGCACCAAATACAAATATCTTTTAACCTTGCCTATTCAACTATCTATCGAGCACACATTTCAAATACATATATTCTCACACATAGTTTGAAAATTCACTTACACAATTTCCAAAACTATGCAATTATTTTTTGTATTCTATTGCCTAATGATACTCTATAATGAATATATACCATACAATTCTACATCATATATCTTAAAACTGCTTTACACCTACTGTTAGGGTAAATCAATTTTCCACATCGATATTTAGTATTTCTATAATATACTTTTAGGCGCTCACCACAAACAAATTATTATATTAATGGTGCATTATGTATTATAGTACATTTCTTTTAGTGTCTTATTAAAAAAAACAAGTGATATAAATATGCCTATGTGAAAAGTCACTTTACATATGACTCGAACATGGAGTCTAACCAAGCCTTTAACTTATCACTATTGACAAGTAAAATATTATCAGTCGGTTTTGTCGACAGATGTATACCCCCAGCCTTGAGTTATAGTTATTCGCTGTTAAACCTTTATGGGGCAGGTTCCGAAGCAGTTGTCCAATATTTACCAATTCGTGTCTAAACTAAGACTGATATATCTGACCTAAGACTGATATAAATATTATAAAGTGCCATATTTGGACTATATCGACCACTTCCTAATCTTTATATGAGATATATGCACATTATCGGAAAATATGCAAATATGCGTGATGTAACAGATAAAGTCGACCGAAGTATTCCATTTTCATACTTCATCTAATACAGATAAAAAAATTGGTATGTGTAAAATTTGAAGGAAATCGAACGTTTATATCCAATTTTATGTAATTTCGATAAATTACTTATTCATCTCAGGTTTCAGCTGGAGAGACATATTTAGATATAGAAAGTTGTAAAGAATCGCTGACTTGTTTCGCAAGTTATGACAAATAAAATCATTAAACATTGTGGGTGAGGTACCAAAAGAGATTCGCAGATATATAGCACCTTTAAAACAAATCTTGTGTTAGTAAAAATGTTAGTGTGTGTGTGTGAAACTTGAAAAGAGTTGGGTGCTTATTTCGCATTCTTTGAGCGTTTTGTTTTTCAATATCTTGAACCCTATGTTGGGGAGGTACCAGAAGAAATGGTCCCTTCCATATACAGATCGTGTGTTGATGGAAATATTGAGATGTACCCAGTTTGGAATGAAATAGGATGTTAATTTCCCGTTTTATGAGCTTCTTGTGGGGGAGGTAACTGAAGAAGTGGACCGATATATATATAAAAATCAATTGTTGTTCGTTGGTAACGGAATCAGTTGAGAACGGGTGCACCGATTTGAATAATTTTTTGTACAAACATTTGTCATACCCAGAGTTAGGTTTTTAAAGAAAAACATATTGACCACGCCTACTTTTACGCCCACTATTTTGATTTATCTAAAATCCTTATATTTGCCAAATTAATGAAGATATCGGTTTGAGAATTATTACACGAGATACTGTTTGCTTTTTAGGGGCTGAGGAACGCGCCTACTTTTAAATCTGTCTCTCTATATGTAAAAGAAAGTTATGTTAGTTACTACGCTTATAACATAAACCCGCCGGTCTGATTTTAACGATTCAGACAAATTCGGAATTGCCTCTTGGCAGAAAAGCATAAAATCCAAAAAAAATCGCGTAAAAATGTGAAATTTTGAACATTTTCATTTTGATTTTTAAAATGTACAATAGTAATGTTTTATTTTGCCTGATTTTTTTTCCATTTTGACTTACTATTTTTGAATGTACATTTGTAGTTTTTTTTTTTTGTTTTGGAATTCTAATATGATGTTTAGTTTTTTTGGGTAGTATAAAGCGACAACGGATAAAACTGTTATTTATAAATTTTATGTATTTATTGGGTAATACGACTAATATCATTTCAGAAGAGAATAATATATGAAAATTCTAAAATCGGAAAAAATCTAACATTTTTCAATGGAATCGAATTTCAAAATAACAGTACATTCTACAGGCAAACTTCATAAGGACCTTTAAAAATTTGCCGTAAAAAAATCAGCGAACCAGTTGAAGATTATTTGTCTTTTTTCAATACTTTCTTTTTTCTATATTGAAGTGTACATTTCTTATTGTTTTCAATTCTGAATGAATAATATTAAAAATGAAATGAGTGTGTAATACGATGTTAAATGGTGATCTTTCATGTATAAAATTGGCATCTAGCTTTCAACTCCAGGACCTTCAACTGGAAGATGCGAACACATTTATACAAACAAAAATGACCGAAAAAGCGTTATGGGGTTCACTTCAAAAAGTGGACCTGTTTCTTTCATATGACAATAATTTGTCCAATGAGAACTCAAAATGCAAAATACATTGGGACTGCAATCCGTGAAATACCGACTATAAAGGACGCAAAATAGTAGAGCGAATTCCTTCCAGAAATTTTTTCCAAACATTCAAGATACCTTTAATCGCTTTGGCAGGTCACGATAACGGAACAACCTGATTTCAGGTATATTCTACATTTTAACCATGTTTTTCGTACTAATTCTGCCTTATGTTGATAATTTAAAAAAAAACCATCCCTGCAAGAAATTATCACGTTTTAGTATCACCATCATATGATTTAAGGTATTTTCGGGGTCTTGAACACTTTTTTCATTTTTATTTGACATCTTTGTTTCTAAGGGGGAGGAAAACCTTATTTGACATCTTTGTTTCTAAGGGGGAAGAAAACCTTTTCTAATAAAATTTTTATTTTTCGGAAAAGGGCCCATCTTAGACTTGAGGCTACCTGTGGTAAAAAACCCTGGGGTAGAAAAATCATCTTACAGATAATTATCCTCATAGGAATTTATTTAAGTATAGTCCCCACATTAGTATACCCCCAAGTCCACTTTCCCAACCAATGTGTGGTCAGAAAAGAACATTTGGTATTCTATTGAATTTGTAACCCCCAAGAGAATATTGGTTGGGAACGTAGATTTGGGATGTACGTCTATATGAAATATCTGGGACTTATTCAGTCGGAAATTGTGGCATAAACATGAAAAAAAAATATGAAATTAGAAAGTAACACGAGACCGAACATTTCTTTAATCTTCATTGAATTAAACTACGATGAAAAATTTGGACTTTATTGGATCTCCATCGCACAATTTAAATGACAAAACATTTATGCCCAAAAGAGTATTTTTTTGGCTATTCTATTCTGCCTTCAAGTATGAGGTGAACAAAACTAAATACCAAGCAGTACGGGATTTTAAACGTTGGAAATACAAATTCGAAATTATAGATCATTTAAATGAAAATGTTAAGCTTTTTACAACAATAAAAATTGAGCTGAATTTTCACATTGGGCTATTTAACACAAAAATTAATTTCTATTTAGTCATGGAGCCATTACTTATAATGAAAATTGTGCCGCTTACATAAGTCAGCTCTGTGATTTATTATGCTTTAAAAAATACGCATTAAAGAATAAAAGTACCGGCCGGCAACGCGGACCGGGCCAGCTAGTAAAAATATATATATTTGACAATCAGACTCTTACATTACATTTTATAATAGTTATAATTATTTAATATGTTGACCGTTTGTGTGGGAGGTTTCAGAAGGAGTGGACCGATACATCTCATCTTCACAGCAGATCTTGTGTTAGTAGAAATAATGGGATGTGTGAAATATGAAGAGAGTCGGATGCTTATTTTGGATTTTATAATCGTTTTGGTTATTCAAAATGTTAACCCTTTGTGGGGGAGGTGCCAAAAGAAATGGTCCGATCTCTACCATCTTTATAACAGATCTTGTGTTGATGGAAATATTGAGATGTACCAAGTTTGGAATGAATTAGGATGCTAATTTCGTGTTATATGAGCTACATGGATATTCTACATGTTGACCCAAAAGGAGTGGACCGATATATTCCATCTTCACACCAGACTTTGGGTTAATAAAAATATTGTGATGAATGTAATCTGAAGACAACCATCACATCACATTTTATAAGAGTTATAATTATTCAAAATTTTGTCCCTTTGCGGGGCAGGTACTCGATGGAGTTGACCGATATTGTTCAGTTTCGCACCTGACATAGCACCGATGCAAATATTAGGACTTGCAAATGGGAGCAAAATCGGATACTCCCTTCAAGATTTATCGTACGCACCAGCCGGGAAGACGGACGGATGGACATCGCTAGATCGACTCCAAATGTCCTGAAACGAATTTGGTCCAAAGAAACCTAGGATCAGAAACCATTATTTCGATGAAGCACGTTTTGGTCGTATCAAATGATATATACCCACTTTAGCCATATGGCTGAGGGTATAAAAAGCGTTTTATGTATTCCCACCTTAATTTACACCAAATACTTTTTCATAAAATGCGTTATCTAGATAGTAAATTTCTTTTTTATTTTATTTTACATTCTTTCAATTGGCTAGGCGATTTTATGCCTTTCGACTATTTCATGAATTTTATGAAAAAATTACCTTATATTTTTCATGCAGAAGAACAGTCCGAAAAGAGTCTTAAGATTTTGAATTAATTAGCCCGCCACTGATAACTATCTTGGTATTAAACTTGCCGTGCGTTTACAAGAAGAAAAACACAGGACAATATAGTTCATATATTAATTGTCAATATACTAAAAGTTTGCCTCTGTAACGTAGGCGTCCCGACATCTGCAAAAACAATTGCAACATTTTCAATAGGAGACCCTATTTTTGTTTATTGTCCTTTCCCTTATTCGTGTCTTCTTTAATCATATTTCATTTATTGTCAAAAATAATAGTCATTCAATGTTTTCGAAGAAAAAATAGAAAAAAAAAAATCGAATCAATGTGTATGTGGTAGTCGTAGTGGAAGTAAAATATAACTCTGATTGAGAAAAAATTGGAAATTTGTCCGCCGCTATGTAGATTGAGGTGACGATACATAAACAGCTTGGCAACCTCGTAACGTGGCATATTAATGTTATATTGTAAGGGAAAACGACGGCAGGGTTCGAGTGGGGATCTGACATCCCTTAAAAATATGTCACTTAATGAGCATGACATGATAGCAATCAGATGATGTATCCTCCTCTATACTACGCTGGTAATTTACTCGAATCATTTCCTTTTTTTTCATCTTTCTCATTTATATCTTAAATAATCATAATTTTTTTATCCTGAGTGGTAAGAAAACAGAGTGTAAGGGGAGAAGAAGATTTTTTTCTGGCATAAGTCACCGGCTGGCTTTTGAGTAAAAAAACAGAGGAGCGTTGGGCCAAAATCGAACTAAGTTAACCTAAAACTCCTTTTTTCCTCTACAAAGAAGCCAGCCGATGACTTGAGCTAGTCAAAACAGCATTTTATGTATTCTCAACTTTAAGATGACCTAGTTTAAAGTATGTGCCGAAATTGAACTAAGACAGACAACACACTTTTGTTCTATAACGAAACAGCCAGCCGATGACTTAAGGTGAGAGTACATAAAAGTTTTTTTTGACTGGCTGCTTTTTATTTAAAGAACAAAGGAGTTTTAGGTTGACTTACTTCGTTTTTGATCCTACGCTCCTTTGTTCTTTAACGAAGAAGCCAGCCAAAAAAAGCGTTCTATGTATTCTCACCTTTATTTCAGAAAAAAAACCTTTCTATGTATTCTCACCTTTAAGGGCTTCCCTTCTTATCTAATTTCTATGGCGTTTTCTCTTAGTATATGTTCGCATGATCTTACCAAGGCATGGCAAGAACCAAATTTCAATGGGGAAACTGATGCTTTGTGGGCATGTTAAATGTCTCCTTTTCTATTTATCTTCAAGCTCTTCTACTATAATGTATGGCTGATCGATGCAAGTGTATCCTTACTACTATATTTTTTTCTAATAACAGTTGAGAGATCAGACGAAAACATAGTGTTGGCATATCAGTTCAAAATGAAAAGCAGCTGATTAATATTGCCTCCAACCTTCATATCGCTTACCTAGAGGCTTTCATTTCGTCGGAATTACCATATACATTTCGCAAGGGGGACACGCGTGAAGGTTGAGGACCGTATCGATAAAGAAGTGTGTAAGTTGTCGCTTTCAAAAGGCAAAACAACTGAGTTTGCACATTATTTGTTAAAAGAGAAAAGTGAATCAGTGTGACGTAAGCGTCCACACAATTGCAATAATAAAATTATGAAAGAAACATTTCAATTTTTTATTTGCCATTCAATATTTTTGGTTTCTTCTTTGAAAAATTTTATATTTTTGCTTCAAAAATTGTTTACAATTTTAAAAACTACCATTGAAAAGTGCTGGACAGTAATGAAAACAAAAGGACCCGTATGTATGTGGTAGTAAAGTACATATTTTATTCAAGAAAATTCGTCTTGAGTAAACGCCAACTCAGTAGAAATGCAACCCTGAAGCTGGCAACTCTCGCCTTTAGAGGTTTCCCACGATGAATCGATTTTGCAGCTCCTTATTTTTTGTCTGCTCTCTCCTTTCTTCCACACTTTTGATCTAACTGTTTGTTCATGGTATCCAACTGATGGGGAGCATCACTTATCTAACAGCTTCTTTGTCGCATCTTTATACGAATATATCTGCTTTCCAAATTTGCCTGCTACAAAGCTATGTGTCTATGTATAACCACAATTTACGATTTTGGGAGCAATATCCTTAGTTCTCATTTCAATTGTTTGCATTCGATTTTTCTAGCCGGCTGGTCAACAACATCAAACCCTAATTATTGAGGAATTTGAACCGGATATATTCCGCCAACTTATTGAATACATACACACTGGATGTGTTACCCTGCAACCAAGGACCTTATTAGGTAAGGTATTACTATTTCATAAATAAGGACTGCATTATTCAACTTTCCTCTCCCTATCTTTCTTTTGTACATCTTTCAGGTGTCATGAATGCCGCCGACTATTATGGCCTAGAGGAACTGCGTCGAGCCTGTGCCGGCTTTGTACAGTGCTGCATCAATGTGGACACGGTGTGTGCTCTACTCTCCTCGGCCGAGCGTTATATCCAATACAAATGCACCAAGTCATTGGTGCAAAAAGTTTTGGAATTTGTCGATGAACATGGCAACGATGTGTTGAATTTGGGTAGCTTCACCCTGCTGCCTCAGCATGTGGTGAGATTGATATTGGCCCGTGAGGAACTGAGAGCCGATGAGTTTACCAAATTCCAGGCGGCATTGATGTGGAGCAAGAAATACAATGACAATAATCCGGTAAGATGTGCAAAGAGAAATAATTGAATTCTTTTATAACTTCTCTCTCTCTCTCTCTTTTCTTTGTCTCTCTCTGACAGAATATTGACATGAAAGAGATTTTGGGCAACTTCCTGGAATACATACAATTCCACAAGATCCCAGCCAATGTGTTAATGCGCGAAATCCATCCCTTGGGTCTGGTGCCCTATTCCATCATCATGAATGCCCTGGCCTACCAGGTGAGTTCGCTTCTACTTTGGTCTCTACTTGGCATCACTAAAACAATTCTTTCATCCAAAATTAACAACAACAACAACTCATTGGCTTCCTTGATTTTTTTCTTTCCAAAATTTAATTCTGCAAACCATTTATGTTTTTTCTTTCTGCATCCATCCATCCCTCTATGAAAATGAAAAAAATGACTATGATTTTCACAAATGGCGCCCAATGGTCTGTGACCACTCTCCAAAAAAATAATAACAAAAAATAAAAACTGTCGTCATGGTCATTTTTTTGCTATTGTCGTCCCTTGTGTCCCCCCTTTATGCCTGATTCTAACACTTACAGGCAGACCCAGAAAGTATCGACCCCGGAAAATTGTCTCCCAACTCTAGTCGAGTGAGGCGCGCTCGACAAAATCAAGGCAGATCGATGTCCGTGCAGAGTTCACTTGATCCCTATGGTTCGAATACAACTTTGAGCTCCAGCGGCAGCAGCGATCCCACCAGTGGCCCACATAATACCAACTAACATAAGTTGAACGGCCCCTCCTCCTCCTCCCACCATCACTCATCCGGACGTCATAAGCACAACCAATCCTTGCCCAAAATTCGCAAAGCCAAGTCACAGAGTTTCCGTACCCGTCGCAGCCCCAGTGATCGCCGCAGTCCCATCAACAGCCAGGGTCCGTTGACGTTGAATGCCATGTTGGCGGCCAATGATAAGGGTTTGAGTCCGCATACACCCAAAAGTCCAATACTACCGCATCCTGAGTCGAAGAGTCCGGGCAGTGTTAGCCAGAAGACACCGACAACATTGTCAAGACAGGGTACCTTGAGAGCATCGCATAGACGTAAGGGCAGCATGACAGGCTCGCTGTCTTTATCGCAGGGCCGTAAGAGTCCAGTGGGTTTTAACGATCGCAGTCCCCAGGGTCGACGTAGTCCTCTTCTAATTTCCAATGATCGCCTCAAATCACCCAATGAACTACCTTTACATCCCACCTTTGGCACGGCCTCGCCCACTGTACGCTCTCCATCTGCAGAACGTAGCCGCAGTCCCACATTTAGCATCCACACCCAGGAGAGACGTTCCCCCGTTGGCAGTGCGGCTCCCACAGATTTTGGGCAATATGCCCGAAGTCGTAGTCCCACATCCACGGTCCATGTCCAGGATGGCAATCGCTCCACATTTGATTCCTCCACCGAGCAGGAAGAACCCATGCCGGCACGTACCCCCACCGGGTACAAACGGCCTTCCATCAACCTCTTCACTCCCATCTACTTTAGTGGCGATAAACGCAGCCCGATAGGACCCATACCTCCCATAACGGTATCCAATCCAGCTGAAACCTATCGCATGGCCGAGAGCAACAACATGTCAGCTGAGAGCCAGAGAGAAGCCGAACTCAAACAGCAGCGGGAGGAGAAGGAGAAAGCGGAAGCAAAGAGTGCCGGCGACAAGGAGCAACAACCGTCGGAGAAGAAAAGCGTCATGCGTGAGATCCTCGCCTTTGTGCGCAAGCCCTCCAAGCACATCTCGACGCGCACCAATCGCTTTGCTAATGCTTTTACCAGAGCCGAGTCCGGGTCATCTAGGGGACCGCTCATACGCCAAAGTACTTTTTCAGCCAGTCCGGCCGCATCGTCAACGGCTGCAAAGAGTGCTGTGCAGAAGCAAATGTCCGAAGTTGGATTCGAACCAAAGATGTCACTGAAATTCTCACACTATGCCAAAATGTCTCTGAAACTACGTCGATCTGCCCGCGACGAGGAGAAGTCCCACAAACATCAGCAGCAACAGCAGCAGAAGCGTTCTTCCAGCGATACCCAGCGAGCCAGCAATGATTCGTCCGGCACCTTCGGCAGTGGTCTTTTGAACGTTCAAGAGGGCAGTGCCTCAGGCCGGGCCACACCGTTGAGCGATATTCCCTTCGAGTTCGCCAATGTCCATTTCGAAAAGGTAGGTGAATCCTATATCAAGCATGACAAGAAACACGAAGAACAGAACAAAGGTGACGAACGCGAGGGCGAAGAAGAAGACGAAGAGAACACTGAAGATGCCGCGGATCCCTCAACCGACATTATGTTAGCCAATCTGGTGGAGGAGATCAATAATTCTCTGAAAATCTCCTCCCTGACCACCGAACAGACGGCCAGCGTTCATCACTTTCAGCGTCGTTCTGAGAGTCGTGAACCCATCGAACCGCGTATCAGTGAGGAACGGGAATCGGACTCAAATGATTTGATAATACCCGAAGATTTCCGTTCCGAACTGGTGGAGATTTTAAAGGGCTACACCGAGGAACCGATCTATGTTAATTTGATTGACCTTAAGCGGGAAACGGATGATGCCGAGGCGGCTGCCAAAAAAGCCATTGAGGCAGCTGCCTTGGGCTCGTCCACCGACAAGTCACCGCTGCAGTGTCCCACAATCGAGTTTGTACCGCCGTCAAGGCGTTCATCGTTCGATCCTCCGCGTTCACCATTCCTGGAAACTTTACGCAGTCCAGGCGGTGATACGGATGCCAGCTTGCAACGTTTAGAATCGGGTGGAGATAGTTTTGAAATGGTTGAGGGTGACCGCAAGTCCAGTAGGGCCGAGTCTAGTTTTGAGTGTCCCTATTCCTCGCGGGAAACCAGTTTTGAGATATCACGTTATCAGTCCACCAGCTATGAAGATCAAAGTTCCAGCTTTGAAATTGTCGACATTGATGAGAAGAGCAAGAAATCAAGCATCGATCTGAGGAAGTCCTCAATAGAATTGGTGGATGCCGAAACTTTCCAGAGATCAAATTCGTCACCGGGTCGGAAGTCGTCCCTGGAGACCCATTTTGATTACACCCCCTCCGAGGCCAGTGGTGGTGCCGGTGGCACCTCTGCCGGAGGCGGTGGTGGTATCTTTGGCATCACCTCCATCAGATCTCCCAACTTTCCCATGACCAAAAAGCAGAGAACCGAAACCTTCAAATCCCTACACATCTCACCCTTTAGTGCCTTTTCACGTGCACGTAGTCCCCTCTCCAATCAGACTTCCTCCAATTATAGTTCACGTGATAGTTATGATTCCAGCTCGTCGGCCGGACACCATGAGCTGCCGCAACGCAGTCCCTATGCCGATCCGACCAAAAAACATTTCCCCCTGACCATCAAACAAAAGGAAGAGGAAGTGAAGACCTTCCTGTGTACCGATCAAAGGTGTGCCTCGATTTTTGAGCCCCGCCCCAGTTCAGTTTTGACGCAGCAATTTTCGACAGGTTCCATGTCAACGCCGTCAGGTTATGCCAATGGCACACCGAGGGCTTTAAGTGCTGTGGGCAGTAGTATTGGTGGGGGATTTTCGAGTGGTAGTGAATTTGATCCGCCCTCACCACGGCGGGCTACTAGTGCCTCGCCGAAACATACATTCACGTTTCGTATAGTTCTGAAGAAGGTGGATAGCTCACCGGAGGCATTGTGTCCGGAGAGGCATAGAAGTCGTATAATTGATCGGTATCGAAGGCGTGACAGTAGACGACGCCGGTTGCAGACCACGGGAAAGAGTGTTTAAAGGGAATGGGAGGGAGGTTTGAAGTTAGGTGGATAAAAGAAGGCTGCCAGAAGGTTAAAGATCGCCTTTTGAATTTATGGGAAATATCAAATTTTTCTGCGGATAGAAAGTCTTCTGCTTGCCTTCTATAAATTTGAGGCCCTGCTTGAATATAAAACCTTCTGTAGATGGTAATTATTCTGTGTGTCCTCTATGGATAGAATATTTTCTGTAGGTGTTTTATGGAAGACCTGATATTTAAGGATATATTTACGGGGTCTTATAAACATACAAAGAACCTTTCAAATGCCACTTATAAATATAAGACCTCCAATATCCTTTAGAGTTCTTCCATACGTTGAAGACCTCTTAGAGGTTTTCTTAACATAAAGGATCTACAGACAATCTATCGACAGAAAACCCCTCACATAGAAGACGCATGGATGGATCTCCCACAAATTTCGGTAGTAAAAGACCATCTACAAAATATTCCCTATGCTCATAAGTGGATTATAATTTGAGAAAACAAAAACTGAAAAAATATCACACTTTCAAATTTTTCAGCTTTCAAATCTTCCACTCAATTTTGAAATACGTAAAGCAAAAACAAAGAGAGATAATTTAATTTCTTTTTTAAATCAAAACAACTAAAACAACCCGATTCTAAACTCAAGCTCAAGGTGTAGTTAGAAATCTTAAAGGAAAAACAAAAATATATCAAAACTTATTTAGATAACAATTTTTGACAAGTATTTTTGACCCATTAAAAGCAAGATAAAATAAATATTTTTAACAAATAATTTAATTAACAAATTTTTCTAAGAAATCTAGATGTCTGTTAAAAATAATTGAAACCCTGTTAAAACCTCGATCTAAGATAAATTCTAAAATGTCAAACAATAGAGAGAGCTTGAAGAGAAACAAGAGCTAACAAGGAGAGCAAAGAGTCCAAACAGTTACAATGCCGCTATATTTCTCTCATTTTTCCAACGAACTCAATAAAAATTACTTTGGTATCTAAAGTATTTACGTACGACGAGTGGCATATTTTACAAAAATACCAAATAAGAAGATATGTTTCATATCTTAGGAAGCCGAATTTTAATCATCTTTTCTTGGGCTTAATCATATAAAAATATTATTTTTTAACCCTTCGTCCTAAGGAAACTTCCTTGATGCTGTTAAGGTGACAATACATAAAAATCTATTTTTATTGGATTCTTCGTAAAAAACAGATGAGCGTAGAGTGAACAAGTATCAATTACCGGCTGAAATTAGATGAGGTCAGGTTTGTTCTTTTAGAGAGAATATAACTTAAGGCAGCCAAAAAATTCTTTTATATTCTCACCTTTAGTCCTGGTATAAGTCGGGCTTTAGGGATCAAAACATCAAAATAATCAGCTGAAATTAAAAATCTTTGCAATGTCTGCTATATGGAATTTGTACATGGTGGCTCAGAAAGATCGAAGTGGTGTGAATTTCTTCTAACTTTTTATTTAAGATATTTTTTTTATTTTTTGTTTTTTTTTTTACTTCCGTAAATTTATAACGAATATTTTTAGATTAGTTATTAAAAAAGATATGACTCTTACAAATGTGCTCTTTGCAACACATTTTCCAAGACCTTTCGCAAAATTTCCGGTATTATGTTGATAATTTCGTCTCGAGTATTGGTTTTTAATTTCTCAAAAGTCCTAGGCTTATCAGCATAAATTTTCCATTTAAATAACCACAAAGAAAACAGTCTGGAGCGTTTAAATCCGAGGAAGGTGGAAGCCAATTAAAATTGCTTCTATGCGGAATTATTCTTTCACCAAAGATGTCGCGTAAAAAACCCTCGCAGTTAGCGCTGTGGCTCCATTCTGTTGGAATGGTTTTCTATGGCTGGCCTTACAAAATTTTCCAACATGACCCAATATCGATCGCCAGTGATGAACATTTCAACACCTTATTAATTTTCAAAAAAATATGGCCAATGATCCCCTCTAAAACACATTGTCGTTGATGAAGTACTCTAGGGCATTTCGTAGCCCATATCCAACAGTTTTACCTGTAAACAAACACATTTACTTGGAAATTGACTTCGTCACTCACAACCAAGTTATGAATAAAATTAGGATTCTCTACGGTTTCGATTCTTAGACAAGTTGAATTTTTATATGGAAACTTTCTGGTATTTTAAATATTGTGAAACGTTTGGATAGAGGTCTTGTATGTTCTTTTTTTTTTTTTTTTTTTTTTTTTTGGTTTTAGAAAGTTGAAACTTGGCCAATTTCCAGATAACGCCACAACAAGCAATCGGGAGGGTTCCGCTAGGTCGTTAATGTTTAGAGCAGGTGTTTACAAGTTAAATTTGATCTTGTGCAAAAATTCAGCAATGGCAGGAAGATTTTTAATCCCATGTTTGTTGATGAAATCCACAGTGGATCTTGAGCTCCGCATATAGTGATTAGAATTTCTTTCCGACGAAAAGCGATGGCACTGAAATAGGATATGGTCGACATTTTCCTCAGTGCAACAAGTTTCACAGAGGGCAGAAGGAACTGCTTTCATTCTTTCCAAGGTGGCATTGCAAAAGGCGTGGTTTGTGACAACTCTGTTGAGTGTTTTTGTATCCAAAGGGGTAGATGTGGTATTGTGGAACCATGGTCGTTTGGTGACTTCAGGGAAGATTGTGAAGTAATGGGAGGAGCCGGACAATCCTCTTTCTTTATACTCATTTGCCCATTCTATCCACAGGTCGTGAGTTATATGGTTAATTGCGTCAGAGATAGTCAAGGGTGTCTCAATCTGCGAGCCAATCTCTCTCGCCATTCTTGCGGCCTTGTATGTTCTTACATTTATAACTTTGCTAACCTCTATTGTTTGACAATTTTAGTGCAAACCATTTTCCTTAATACACGACAACCCTTAACAATAACTAATCAAAACAGCTGTTTTTGAGCTAAGCATTTCAACAATGACCTAAAGCGCCATCTTATGACTATATAAAACTCCAAAAAAAAAACATTTGATAAGAATGCAAACCCAAAAACAATAATATTTCTTGGCAATATTAAATAAAAAACAAAAAAAAAACATAAATGTACAAATTCACTCAATAATAATAAAAACAGTAAATATATGTCTTAAAATAAATAGCAAACACATTTTTCATATTTGTATATACAACAAATTTGATTCAAAGGAAACCTATATTAATAAATATTGAAAGTTTTTTTTTTTTTCAATAGGACTAGGCATTTCCCCCCTCTCAAACACTTGACAATCTTTTTAGGGTTTCAAGATGACAACAACAAAAAAACACGGTGTATACTCCACTTGTGGTCCTTTAAAATCTCCAGGAACAAAGTGCACGCCATTATTTTTTTTTTATTTGATATGTTTAAAATAAACAGTTTATATATTTACTGAATTGCAACTTAAAACACAAACATATGTATACCTGATGATTGTTAATAATAAATACAGAGTTTAAATAATGAATGTTACCAAACACAAAATACACATCATTAAATAATTAATGAACTTTGAGAAGCAAGACGTTTAGAAAATTAATAATACGAATAATTTTGAAAAAAAAAAAATGTTAACATATGATTGCATGACGTAACCTTCATAATTCTACCATCATTTAAAAAAGTAATGGCCGTTTTACATCGGCATTTAAATTATATGTTGTACGACAATCTAAAAAAACGCTTTAAAACATTTTCTGTATAAATACAACTTATAGGATGTTTACAGTTTACTGGATTTAGTAAAACCAGTGAATTAAAATTATCAATTCCATTACATGTACAAATGTCAAATAAATCCTCAAAAAGAAGGCTAACCCTGCAAAAAGCTATAATGTAAACATACTATTAAATAATCACAGCATTAATCTATGGAAAATGTAAACATGGGATAATACCATGTTCTCATCATGGTAGAAGAATATAGGTAGACGCATCGACACAAGTGACGGGACAATAAACTGTCAAACCAATTTTGTAATTGAAAATTTTGAATAAAAAATTATTCAAATTTGTAAAAATTGTTGAAAAACGCATATTATAGTAACCTCCGATTGACGTCGTATAAGAAAACTCAAAAATCTACTTATATTTGAAAAAGAATTTAAATATTTTTGACATATCAATGTTCTCAAGGGTTAATGCATCTACCAGCATTCTTCCACCAGGGTTCTCATTGGAATTTAAACAATGTTCATACGCCACGATTCGTAACCCATGATATTTTCGCGCAATTCGACAGTATAATAGAAAATTCTTCATATTTGGGATCAGTTTTTTAATAAAATTACAAATTTCTGCCTGCTATGTTTCCATGGTAGAAGAATACCGGTAGATGCATCAACGCTTGGGAATGTTGATGTGTCAAAAAAAAATTAAATGTTTTTTTCAGAAAAAGTAGATTTTTGTTATGTTTTCCTATACAACACCAATCGGCGGTTGTTATGATAAGCATTTTAAATAATTTTTAAAAATTAGAATAATTTTTCATTCAAAAATTTCAATTCCAAAATTTGTTTGACAGTTCATTGTCCCAGCAGCTGTGTCGATGCGACTACAGGTATTATTCTGTCATATTGTGTGATGTACAAATAGTTTTGTTTACATAAATCAGCTGATTGATAGCAAACTAATACAGGGAGAGAAAATAAAACTATCTTAAGGTGCAAGTATATAAAAAGATTGAAGTCATGGCTAGACATATTAATATTAAATTATAATGAAAAACGACGGCAAGATTTTAGTGCGACTCTGTAATTTCTTGACTTCAAGCGTCTTATGTACTTACTCTCAGAGAAAGAAGTTGCTGGACAATTTTTTCGGGAGAATTTAATTCTTGCGCAGACAAACCTGATATACAATTAGACACTCTTAGGCAAAATGTCCTCCATCACATTTTTACATACATTTGACAGAATATTGTTAACAAATTGAAGATTCCTGCACTCAAAGGAATAAAATGCAATAGTGACTTATTTTGATGTTTAAGCCTATTTGTTATTA